GGGGGGGGGACACACACCGGGACCACCTCCGGGACTGATCCCAGAGGGGACGGGGGCCAGCTGGAGGTGGGAGGGGGGCTGTGCCATGCCAGGCTGGAGCCCACCACCTTGGCATCAGTTCAGGTGGGGGAGAGCAGCCCTTTGGGGAGGGGGGACTGGGCTGACACCAGGCTTTTGCCCCCCCCAGAACGGCCAACGCGGGCGCATGGACAGAGGGAACTCCCTGCCCAGCATGTTGGAGCAGAAGGTGAGCGGGGCTGGGGGGGCCTTGAGAGGCTTGGACAGGGCTGGAAGGGGGGTGTGAGAGGGTCTTACAGCCATGTATGCCCCCCTTTCCCCCCGCAGATCTACCCCTATGAGATGCTGATGGTGACGAACCGAGGCCGCGTGAAGCTGCCTCCCGGCGTGGACAGGACCAGGCTGGAGGTAGGGGCCTTGCCAGGGGTTTTTTTTGGGGGGTGGGGGTGCAACGGGGGGTCCCTGCACCCCGTCACCATCCCCTCTGCCCCCACACAGAGACACCTGTCCCCCGAGGATTTCCTGAAGGTCTTTGAGATGCCCCCGGAGGAGTTCAGCAAACTGGCCCTCTGGAAGCGCAACGAGCTGAAGAAGAAAGCCTTCCTCTTCTGAGCCCCGCCCGGCCCCGAGCTCAGTCCCTGTCGCACCGTGTACCCGCTTTAGGGCTCTCAGCCGGTTTTTAGGGCCCCTTTCCCACACCCTCAGACCTGCCCCCCCCCTCCCAGCCTCGCTCCTCCCGTGGGAAACGGGCTCGGGGGGGGGGGCTCGAACCTGCCTGGCCACGGGGTGATGGGGCAACCCCCGCCCCGAGGCAGGCACGGTTCAGCCAGGAGGGGTGGTTTGGGGGGGGTCTCTGGGCTTTTTACCCCCTTTTTCCCCCCCTACACCCCTCCCAGGACTGCTGGCAGGGGCTCTGCTCTCAGCCGGCCGGGAGCGCATTGGCTCCGGGGGGTGGGCACTGGATGGGAGAGGGGTTCCCTCCTCCCTGGGGGTCTGCTGCCTTCAACCCCCACAGCCTGGGCGCCCCTGTGCCCCCTGGGTGCCCCTGTGCCCCTCTGGAGTGCCCCTCTCCCACCCTCAGACTCGGGAAGAGCCCGGGGGCCGACTCACTGCCAGACTGATGTTCTCCCGGGAAAAACCAGGCTGCCATCCCACCCTGCCCCACTCCAGCCCCCCCTCCCAATTTGGACCCCCCCCCGGGTCCCTCCCGTGCCAGCTGCTGCAGAGAGGACCCCCAAGGACACTGCCAAAACCCCCTGGCACTGGGCAGGAGCGGGGCAGGGCTGGGAGGGGGGTGAGGGGGAGCACCTGGGATGAATTTGGGGAGGGGGGATCTCAATGGGACCCTGGGGCAGCTCCTGGTGCATTTCCATGGGCAGATGTGCCCACGGGGGGGGGGATGCACTGGGAGAGGGGGTACAGGAGGGGAAGGGGGGATGCGCTGGGGGGTGCAGGAGGGGAAGGGGGGGGATGCACTGGGGGCGTGTAGGGGGGCACTGGGCGATGAACTGGGCAACGATGAACTGGGGCGATGGACTGGAGCAGGGCACGGCTCGATGGGCACCGCGGCCACCGGGGGGCTGGGCAGGGCAGTGTCCCTGTCCCCACCACCCCCCCCCCGTCCGGCCGCGGGGGCAGGGCTCGGCACCGGGCAGCACCTCCCCTCCTCACACCCCTCCCCTCTCCCCGCACACGTTTTGGGCAGGACCCCTCTCCCCCCGCACCCCCCTTTCTTCCCCCCCCCACGCTCCCCGGTTTCTGTTTCCAGCCACTTTCCAGCCGCTAGACCTTGTTGGGATGTAAAGAATGTAATTTATCGGGAATTCACTGGCCCATACTTGCCTTTCACTGCTACAAACGACATATCTATAAATATATATATAAATATGGGTTGTTTTCGGACTGGACTACAGTGATTCACTTTCTCTGTTTTTTTGTTAGAGTTTATTTTATTTGCTGGTGTCGGAGAATCCGCGTGAGAGTGATTTTTTGCTTACAATTAAAGGTGAAATGGCTTTACCCGGCCCGGCTCCGCTGCTCTGCTTCCCTCTCCTCCCTCCCCCTTCCCAAAATCCCCCCAGACCCCCCGTTGTCCCCGAGCGCGGGTCCCTGCAGATGGCGATGGTGCTCCGAGGAGGATGCGGAGCCCTTCCCCGCCTTCCTCCCGCCCCGGCCGGGCTGTGCTGGGGGCCCTCAGGGCGTGTGCGAGCCGACCCGGGCCGGGACAGCGCTGCCCCGGTCCCGGTCCCGATCCCAATCCCGGTCCCGATCCCAATCCCGATCCCGCCGCGATGTGAGCGCTCCCGCAACATGTCCCGGCAGGGGGGTACGGGGGGGGGGGGGCACAAAGCGATGCGAGGCTGAGGAGGGGAGGGGTACAAACCTAAAAAAGGGGAGGGGAAGAGGGTAGAGGGTGCGGGGGGCGCTGCGTGGGGGTGCCCACGCCTGTGCGGCTGGGCGTGGGGGTGCCCGGGGGGTGTGGAAGGGGAAAAGGGGGTGCAAGAGAAGGAGGGGAGGGTGAAAGGGGGGAGAGCGGGGGTTTGGGGTGGTGGGAGGTGCGGGGGGCTGCGGGAGGGGTGCTGGGGGGGAAGGAGCAGGGACGGGGTGCCCCCCAGCACTGGGGTGCCACGGCAGGGAGGGGGGTGCCAGGGCTTCCTCCAGCGCCCTCCCAGGGGCAGTTTTGGGGGGCGCAGCGGCCGTGGGGGAGCGTCCCCGCCCTGGAGCCGTGGCCTGGAGCCTCCCCACATGACGGGTCACGCCGCGGGCAGGAGAGCTCGGGGCGGCCTCCAACCTCCTCTGAGTCATCCCGCGCTGGGCCAGAGCCACCCCCGGGGTCCCCCCGAGCCGCTGCCACCGCCTCTGCACCCCGCGGCGCCTCCGTGCATGCATCAAAATCCACGTGGATGCAGGGCAGAGGTGCCAGCCCCGAATTCCAGCCTCCCCCCTCCTCTCCCGGTGTGCGGGCATCACCCAGGGATCCTGCGCTCCCACGGCATCCCTTGGGCAAGCCCTCTCCTTCCTCCCCCTCCTGGCCTTCCTCCTCCCCCGAGGATGAGGATGCAGATGCCATGAGGATGAGGATGCCACCGTGCCGGGACACATCCCGTGGGAGAGCAGGGAGCTTTGCTAGGAGACCACGCCGTGTTTTGGGGTGGGGGGGAGGCGTTTTCCTCCCGCCCTGGAGACCGAGGCAGATGTTTTCCATCCCGGCTGCCTTTCCCTTGGCACGGCACAGGCAGCTGGCACGAGGCCACGGCTGAGGGCAGCCCCTGCCTGCCCTGCACCGGCCGTGGGCACGGCTGGGCACGGATTCCCTGCCCCACCGAGGGGGGAGTGCCGTGGAGGGGGTGGGGGGGCTGCAGGGAGGGCAAAGGGGTGAGTGGACGGAGATGTCATTGCCGAGGAATTCGGCCTGGGCGGAGGAGAAGAGAGAGGGAGGGAGGGGCAAAGCCAGGCACGCTGGGCAGGGGGCACAGTCCCCATGTCCCCCACGCTGCATGTAGGTCCCTTCAGGCAGCCCCTGCTCTCCCCCCCCCACTCCAGGCTCTTCCCCCAGGGAGCTGGTCCCCCCCTTCCCTTTCCTTCCCCGGTTTCCAGGGAAATCCAGATGTTTGGGCCCAGCTCCGGCATTGCTCAGCCTCACTGCACTGCCAGATGTTTCCTCTCCCCCCAGGCAGGGTGTGTGCTCCCAAACTGGGGACACTGGGAGGGAAAGGGGGTCCCCCTGTGCCAGCACCTCCCAGGGAGCTTCACCCGTGGCCCCTTAAACACATGTGGGACTGGTGGGGTCCTTCCCCCACCTGCCCTCGCCTCCCCTGGGGGCTGACACCTTCTTTGGGGTGCACTGCATCCCTGCTAGCCTGGAGAAATGTGGGATTCAGGGATATGGGACATCGGGGTCACCTGGGCAGCTGCAGGGGGTCACTGGGCAGCATCCTGGCCGGTGGTTGTTTCGCTGGGATTGTCCCTGTTCCAGCTGGGAAGTGTCAGGGGGACTCGAGGAGGGACAGACCCTGTGCCAGGAGGTGGTGGGTTCCAGCAGCGGGTCTGGAACGTTTGATCCCAGCTGGGAGCAGGGAGCAGAGCCCAGAGCAGGGTCGTGCAAACCATTTCCAGCTGCTCAGCAGGACGGAGCCCGAGGGGAGCCAGGCAGCGACCCTGGGGGAGGTCGGGGGGCATCTGCCCCTTCCTGTGTGAAGGTGCCCAGGGTGAGGGGGCTCTGTGGGAGTGGGGCTGGGGGTGTTCCTGCATGTCCTGCTCTACCATGTGCTCTCTCAGTGCAGGAAACACCTGCACAGAGCCCAGAGCTGAGATGCCACTCTTGGGGGACAGAGAGGCCCTCTCCCTGTGCCCACAGCCCCCCATGTCTCCCCCACCTTGGGGGGCCGTGGGGTGGACACTGTGCTGTCCATCCCACTGCACAGGCTGCAGGATTCCCATCTTCCCTGGCACAAAGCAGCTCCTTGTCCCGCTCCATCCCTCCTTCCTGGCATGGCAGAGTTGGGGTCCCTGGTGGGTGCTGAGCCCCCACCCCACTCCCTGCCCTCAGAGCAGGCAGTGGGAGAATGCTCAGCATTTCAGCCTTCATCAGCTGCTCCCACGTGCCAGGTCTCCTTCTCCTCCTCCTTCTCCTCCTCCTCCTCCTCCTCCTCTTCCTCCTCCTCTTCCTCCTCCTCTTCGTCCTCCTCCTCCGTGTGCCCAGCGCAGCCCCCAGGTCGTGGCTCCCCTCGCCCAGCCGGGAACAAACCAGCTCTGTGAGGGCACACAGAGCAGCCTTCATCACCGCGGGTCCCCAGCCCCCCTCCTCATCCTCCCCCGTGCCCCCGGGCCTGTCAATAGTGGGATTGTGCAGGGCAGGGGCAGGTGCTGGAGCGGGGGCACGACCAGTGGGATGGGGCACGTCACCCCCCTGGCATCGAGGAGCCCCTGCCCGCCCTCCTCTGGTGGCTGCGGTGGCACTTCCCTGCCCCTCGCAGACCTGGACAAGCTGCTGTCGGACCTGCGGTCCTTCCTGCTCATCCTGGACCGGGAGAGCCTCAGCGCCGCGGCTCGGGCCAAGAAAAAGTCGGTGTCCGACCTGCTGTCCCGGCTGCAGAGCCCCCCGTGTGAGTGCGGGGCCGGAGGGCGGGGGGAAGCCCCCGGTGGGTGCCCGGTGGGCAGCCGGGAGGGGCGCAGGGGCGGGGCTGTGACCGGGCGCTCCCCCCGCAGCAGAGGATGCAGAGTACATGATCATGCGCTGCCTCTCGCCCTCCCCGGGGACCCCGCAGGGCTGGACCGGCCCGGGTGAGTCCCGCGCTTCGAGCCACCCTCTCTCTCCTCCGCGCGGGGCTGGGGGTACCCGACCCCTCTCCGCCCCGCAACGCCGCTGCCAGTCCCGCTTTTCCCTCCCAGGATCCAGGACGGCGGATGCAGCGGGAGGGAGAGGCCGCGAGTGCCGCCCGGCCAGCGCCCCCAGCCTGCACGGAGCGGTAAGGGGGGCACTGGAGGACGATGGAGGGGCGGCGGGGGGCTCTGGCAGCGGCACAAGGGACGGCAGAGGGGCACCGGTGGCCATCCCTGCACTGAAACCTCACTCACGCGGGGGTGGGAAGGTCCCCGTGGTCCCACCCGCTTCAGGTGCCTCGGGGACCCCGCGGGGGCCACGGGGGGGGGGGGGGGGGGGCAGCACCTTTGGAGCACCCCTTCTCCCCCCAGAACAAGGTGCTGGGGGGTGTCTCACCGTCCCCACCGGCCGACGACTCGTACGAAGACGCCGAACCCCAGAGCGGATGCTCCGGTGAGGACCCCCCCGCGCCCCCCGCCCATCCCCGGAGTGCGCCCGCCCCCCTGACCCCGCCCCGGCCCGCAGGCGGGGCCGACACCGACAGCAGCCACTACGAGTCGTACGAGGAGGAGGAGGAGGGTGTGACGGACCGTGCCCACTACCTGAGGTGGCCGCTGGGCACCAGCCCCGAGGCCGAGCCCCCCCGGGCGCCCCGAGGCCCAGCTCTGCGGCTTCCTCTGGAGGAAACGCTGGCTGGGACAGTGGGCAAAGCAGCTCTTCATCGTCCGGGAGCACGTGCTGCTGGTGAGGGGCTGGGGGAGGAGGAGGAGGGATGGGGGGGTGGGTGGAAGGATGGATGGAGGGATGGAGGAGTGGGTGGATGAATGGTGGATGGATGAGGGGGTGGAGGGATGGATGGATTGGTGGTTGGGTGGGTGGATGGGTGGATGGATGGATGGATGGGTGGATGGATGGATGGGTGGATGGAGGTTGGGAGCAGGTCTCCACGCCCTGCTGACCCCCAGTGCCCCCTCAGTGCTTCAGGTGTGCCGCCGACCTGCAGCCGGTGCTGGAGCTGGACCTGCGGGGCTGCCGTGTCACCTACAAGGACAAGAGAGGCAAGAAGATGCCACACGCCCTGAAGGTGACAGGCACAGCAGGAGAGGTGCTGGTCATCGGCTTCCAGAGCCGGCAGCAGGCTGAGGACTGGAGGAAGGTTTGGAGGTGTTGCAGCCGGGCAGGAGCGGGGTGGGCAGGGAGAAACGGGGGCACGGCCCTGCTGGAGTGCTCCCGGGGGTCTGGGGGTGATCCTGTCTGCTCCCAGCTCCCATCCTGGGGGTGTTGGAGCCCTGTTAGAGGGGGAGCAGGAGCCCGGGGTGCAGCGCTCCCTGTTTCCCCTGGCAGGTGATCGAGGAGGTCAGCAGCGATGCCCCTGGGGGGCTGGCAGCCCTCAGCGCCCCGGCGTCCCCTTCCTCGAGGCTCAGCAGGGTGAGCTTGTCCAGGGAGACCCAGGCACGGGAGAGGGCCAGGAGCACACCCGATTCCACGTCCTGGTGGCCCTGCTGGGTGACACCGGGGAAGGGTTGGCTTGGGGGGAGGCTCAGAGTGCAGGAGGGGGGGGTGTGACACCCGCAGAGTCGGGGCTCTCTGCACCCCCATTCTCAGCCTGCCGGCCCCCAGCTCGGCAGGGAGGACGAGGAGGAGGAGGAACAGGATCGCTCCCGGCAGAGCCCCGCCCGCAGCCCGCGGCCCGGCGAGGACACCAAAGGAGGTGGGGTGCATGGGGAGGGGGCAAGGGGGGGTCCTGCCCCCCTCACGCCGCCTCTAACGGGGGTCTCCCGGCCCGCAGGGTTCCTGGCGGTGCGGCTGCGGGGCCGCTGGCAGCGGCTGTGGTGCGCCGTGCGCCAGGGAGCCCTGCGCATGTTCCCGGAGCCCGGCCCTGCCCAGCGCCCCGTCTGTGCCCTGCGCCTGGACGGCTGCGAGGTCTCCCCCGGGGCAGCCGCCGGATCCCCCCAAAACCTGCGCATCCGCATCGCCCAGCGGGGTCGGGAGCTCGCCCTGCTGCAGGTGAGGGGCGGCCACGGTGACCCCACGTCCCTCCCTTCAAGGGGGGGGAGCACGTGCTGAGCCTGGACCCCCCTGCCCCACGCCAGGCCCGGTCGGATGAGGAGAGGGAAGCCTGGCTGAAGACCCTGCAGGCCAGGGGAGGAGGGGAGCCGGCGGGTGACGGACCCCACAGCAAGCCCCCCCGGCCTGGTGATGCCAGCAGCCGCCCTGCTGCCGGGTGAGGAGCTTCTGGACGAGGCAGGGCCACCCCCAGCCCTCCTGCTGCTCTGCGGGGTGTGTGAACTAACGGGCCCTCTCTCCTGCTCACAGTGGGCTGATGCTGCGCCGTGTGCCCACCCCCAACACCTACATGGATGACCCCTTTGGGCAGCCCCTGCCAGCCGAGACCCCCAAGCACCTCTACTCCAACGCAGAGCGGCTGCAGCAGCTGGTAACCTGCTCATGCCACCCCCGGGGTGGGGAGACAGGCTCTCACCGTCCTGTTGCCCATGGGATTCTCCCGGATTTCCTTCCACAGCAGCAGAGCTTGGACCGGGCAGTGCAAGGGCAGCGCAGGAGACCCGTGTCTGCACTGCCCATCTGTGCCAGCAGCAATGCCCTGGGCAGTGCCCGGCCCTCGCAGGCAGGTGAGAGGGGCTGGGTGCTCCTCCCAAGAGTGCAGCAGGGTCCTCCCATGCACCCCCTGCACCCCAATCCTGGGGGCTGGGGTAGGGGCTGGGGTGCCCATGAATGTGGTGTTGTGCCATGACTTCCCTGTCCTTAATCCCGTGCATCCTTCCCCTTCCCTTCCTCCCCAGCGTCCTCCTTCTTTCATTCCTCCCCAGCATCACTTCCCTGCTCTTCCTCCCCAGAATCCTTCTTCTTCCCATCCTCCCCAGAATCCTTCCCCTTCTCTTCCTCCTGAGCATTCTTCCTCTTCCTTTCCTCCCCAGCACCCCCACCAGCTCCCCGGGGCAGAGCTCCCAGCCCACAGCAGGCAAAGGAGAACCCCAACCTCGGGAGCAGGGATCTTTCCCGATCCCAGCGCACCCTGACACTGCCCGAGAAGAAAGGGACTCGGGATGGGCTGGACATCCTCATTGGTAGGGTCACAGAGGGGCTGTGCCCCGGTGCCAGGGGCTGCCTGGTCCTTGCTGGAGCAACTGGCAGGGTCAAGGCGTGCCCGGGCTTGGCAGTGCTCCTGCTGTCCTTGCAGGGAAGAGAGCCTTTCCCAAGCTGGAGGAGAAGGTGGGACAGCTGGAGAGGGCCTGCCGTGTGAAGGGCAGGCTGAAAGCCGGCTCCGAGATGAACCTCCTGGCCATCGGGAAGTCACTGAAGGGCCACATCGCTGCCACCGCCAGCTCAGCTGGCTCCGAGGTGGGGGACACGGGATGCAGGGAGTGCAAAGGGTTTGGGGGGCTGCCCTCACCCTCTCTCCGCTGTTTTCCCACCAGGGATCATTCCTCAGGCCGCTGCTGAAACGCACCACGTCGGCGAGGAGCGCCCTGAAACCGCCCCCGTCGCCCGTCATTGTGGAGAAGGGGAACGTGAGGCAGAAGAGGAAGGTACCCCCGGGATCCAGGCGGGGTGGGAAGGGCTCAGGTGATCCCAGGGCACGGGGAGACGGGGGATTGACCGTTCCTGGGCCGCCCTCCAGGAGTGGGAGATGAAGTCTGCGATGTGACCCCGCCCGCCTGCAGACGGACCTGCTGGAGCGGGAGTCTCCCGGCTGCGCGTGGATCGTGCAGGACCGGCCTGGATTCAGCCTGGAATCTGATTTTTATCCGTCCAGTATCAACGCTACCACTACGCACATCTATTTTTTATATATAGATATATAGATATATACATATCAAGCTCTCCCTGGGTGGGTTTCCAGCCTCTCCCCGCTGCGTTCCCGCCCGTCCCAGCACCTCGTTTTCGGGGTACAGAATTCCCAGGTACAGCTTCCTGAGCTGCTGGCTCTGCCCCCAGTGTGGGTCCGGTACAAACTGTGCATTGGCAGCGCCCCAGCCCCCCCAGGCCCCCCCATTTATAGGGATGGGTACGGATCCACCCCGGATCGAGCAGCTGGCAGGGCACGTACACAGTTCAGGGGCATCCAGTTCTCCATTCCCTGGAGCTGGCAGGACCCAGGCTGGGCCCTGGGTGTTTTTCCAACAGCTGTGCTCCTCAGGGCTTGGTTTTCATTGGAGAAATGTTTTTTTGGGGTTTTGTTTGGTGTTTTTTTTAAGGACTAAAAAAAAAAATATGTCGTAAAACGTGCGTTGTGCTGTGTGAAAGGGAGAGTTGGGGAAGGGGGATGTCCTTGTTCTTGTCCTTATCCTGGTGTGTTATGAGGGGTATCCCCACCCTAGTGCAGGGAAGGTTGTCCTTGTCCATCCCTATCCCAGTGCAAGGTGTGTATGAGGTCCTTCCCTATCCCTGTGCGAGGTGTTCATGGGGTTTATCCCTATTCCTGTGCGAGGTGTGGGGGGGGTCCATCCCCATCCCTGTGCGAGCTGTGTGGGTTCCATCCCCATCCCGGTGCCCCGGGTCCGTCCCCCGCCGCGAGCTGCCCCGCGGGGCAGTTCCAGGGCTACGACACCTCCCCAGCCCCTCCTCTCCCCACCCTCCTCCAGTCCCGCCCCCTCCCCGTGTCCCCAATCCCGCCCCGATCCCGCCCATCCCGCCGGGAGCCGGAGCGGAGCCGCCGGGGGAGGGAGCGGGGCGGGGCCGGGAGCGGGGTTGGGGTTGGGGTCGGTCCCGGGGGTGGTCCCGGGGGTGGTCCCGGGGGTCCCAGCCATGCTGAGCCGTCTGGGAGCGCTGCTGCAACAGGCGGTGGAGACGGTGAGGGGGACACGGGGGGGACCGGGAATGGGAACGGGACCGGGACCGGGGGGTGGGTGTTGTTCCGTGCGCCCCTGACCCCGGCCCCGGTGTGCGCAGCGGGAGCCCAGCGTGGACCTGCTGGAAGCCTTCACCGAGCACTGGAAGGGCATCACCGGCTACTACCTGGAGGCCACAGGTGAGGGGGGTGCGGGGACAGGGTCGCCGTGCCCCTATATGGGGTCCCTGTGCCCCGGGTTGGGGTCTCTGTGCCCCGGGTTGGGGTCTCTGTGGTGTAGGAGTCAACTCCCTGTGTTGTGGGAACAGGGGTCTCGTGTCCCGGGAGAGGGTCCCTGTGCCCTAAAATAGGGTCCTGTGCCCTGGGAATAAGGTGCCTGTGCCCTGGGAGGGGACCCCATTTCCTGGGAAAGGACCCCATGTCTTAACACAGGACTGTGTGTCCTGGGAGAGGGTCTCTGTGCCCTAAAATAGGGTCCTTGGCCTGGGAAATAAGGTGCCCGGGGAGGGTGTCCCTGTGCCCTGGGACAGGACCCCGCGTCCTGGGATGGGACCCCGGTGCCCTGTGGCAGACCTGGCACGCGGGGCTTTGCCGTGGGACACCCGTTCCCATTCCCCGGAAGGATTTCTCCATGCGGGGAGCTCTGCCCTGCCCGGCCCCAACCCCCGGCGCCCCAGCGGGGTCAGCACGGGTGGGTGCGGACACTCCCGGGAGCTCCGGACAGGCTGGGACACGTCCCCGCCGGGAACACGCCGCTCCCCGGGAGCGCCAGAGCGGGGCCTGCAGAGGCTTCAGCCCCGATTCCCAGCGGGATTTCGGCCCTTCCCGCTGTGCCGGGGGCGGGGGGTCTCCAGGGCTGGCAGTGCCCACCGGGAGAACGGGCAGCGGGATGTCCGGCACCTTCCTAGGCCGGGAGCGGAAGGAGCAGCTGCCGGCTCTCCATCCTCACATTGCCATCTAGCGTCATTCCCAGCCCGGGAGGAGCGGGATTCCGGGCCGGCAAAGGATCGGGGAGCCGCTGGAGAGCGTCCCAGCCGGGCATCGCTCCCTTTGCCACGTGCCCTGGGAGCGGGGCGGGGGGCACACGCCGCAGCCCCCCATCCCTGTATCCACAGACGAGAGCATCCCGGCCAGGCAGACGGACATTCCCTGGCGCCTCAAGCAGATGTTGGATATCCTGGTGTACGAGGAGAAGCAGCAGCCGGCGGGGGAGACGGGGCCGTGCCTCGAGTACCTGCTCCAGCACAAGCTCCTGGAGACACTGGGCACGCTGGGAAAGGCCGAGGTGGGTGTCCCTGCACCGGGAAAACGGCTCCAAGGGGGAAGGAGCCCCCCCCCCAGAGCTGGAGCACTCGCAGCCTTTTCCAGCTCCTTGATGTGGTGCCACTCAGTAATTTTGATTTTTGAGCATTTTTACTGGAAGTGGGACTTTGTGAGGCGTGAGGCAGTCGGGGGGCTTGGCTTTTTTTGAGGGGAAAACTTGGCTTTTTTCAGAGGGTCTTGGATTCCTCAATTTAAGATCCCCATTGGGATCCTTTCTGGGGCTCCTCTGAATGGCTCTTGCACCTCATCTCATCCCTGTGTGTGCAGAAAGGGTTTTTTTTTTTTGCCCATGTGGCACATCACTGCTTGGCTTTGTGGGATGAGGAGGGTTTGGAAAAGTAAATATTGCCCAAATATGACAGCTCTGCTGCTCCTTTATTGCTAATAACAATGGGGCCCCTATAAATAGATTTTTATTCAGGTGTAAGTGTGGTGTGGGCTGTGGAAACATGCTGGCCCCTCTGTGCCTGTGAGGATTTGGGGTTTTGGCGTGCTGGGGTTTAACTCCCCATCACTGGGAAAAGGGGAAATAATCCCCCAATGATTTTTCAGTTAAACCCCTAATTGTTAAAGGGAGCCTGGGGTGGGTGGGATGTGCTGGGGGGGGTCCATGCATCGTTTTGGGGCACCCCTCTAGGTGAGCCAGCAGGTGATTTGGGGCAGTTACAGGGAAATCGGGTAACTGGGCTCTGTCTGATTCCTCCCTGTGTCTCATTCCCAGTATCCCCCCGGGATGAGGCAGCAGGTCCTGCTGTTCTTCAGCCGGGTGCTGGGGCAGGTCCAGCACCCTCTCCTGCACTACCTCAACGTGCACAGGCCGGTGCAGGTGAGGTCCCATCCCCGGGCTGGCTGCATCCCTGCCAACCCCTCCCTGGGAAGCAGTGCCCACGGAGAGGGGGTGGGAGAGCCCCCAGAATTCCCGCATCCCTCTCTCCCTGCCTCTCCAGAAGCTGCTCCAGCTCAGCAGCGGCCGCCTGGGCTCGGGCACAGAGAAGGAGGAGGTGCAGTTCGCCGCCGTCCTCTGCTCCAAGATCCAGCAGGATCCCAGCCTGCTGCCGTATATCCTGGAGGTGAGCAGCCCCCCTGTGCCAGTGGGACAATTTGGGGTCCCCTCACTGAGCTTTTTGCTGCAAAGCTTGGGGGGAAGAGGAGGAGGAAGGTGGTGGCTCCTTCGCTGCTCCTCCTCCTCTCCAGGGAAAGAGCGTCCTGAACGGGAGGAGAGCCCAGGAGCTGCCGGACAGCCCCAGGGAAGAGGGTGTGGAGCATCCCCCGGGCACCACTGCCAGCTGCCCCCCAGCCCAGCCCTCCCCACCACAGAGGGACAGCAACCTCGTCACCGCCCTGGTGGGGCTGTGCAGGAGCAAGGTACAGGCGAACAGGGGTGGCAGGAGGGGACGGTGGGCACTGCCAGCCTTGTGATGACCCCTCCCTCCTCCTCCTCTTCCTCGCAGAAGAGCCGTGTGGCGCTGAAGGCTCGGGAGAACCTGCTGGTGCTGGCAGGGCTGGCCCAGGAGGCGGCTGCTGCCTGCCTGGTGAGGAGCAGCGCCCTGTGCCAGCTGCTCACCGGGCACCTCTGCGAGCTCTACAGCGCCGTGCCCCCCGGCACCGACCCCGCCGACGTCCTCGCCATGGACAGGCCCAGCTGGAGGTGAGGGGGGCGCTGGGAAGGGGAGCTCAGGGGTCACCAGGGTTTTGTCACAGCCCCCCCCGTGTCCTCCATCCCGCGCAGGTCGCAGGGGGATGCTGCTGGTGATGGGGTTTTCCCGGGGAAGGAGAGCCTGGCTGCCTTCCTATGCTGGCTGGACTACCTGGATGAGCTGGTGATGGGAGCCCACCCGGTGAGAATCACAGGATCACGGAGTCAGTTAGCTTGGAAAAGACCTCTGAGGTCACCTGTGACATTGCCACCACCTTGTCCCCCAGCCCAGGGCACCGAGTGCCACGTCCAGTCATTCCAGGGGCACCTTCAGGGGTGGGGACCCCACCACGTCCCTGGGCAGCCCCTTCCAATGTCCAACCATCCTTTCTGTGAAGAAATTCTTCCTAATGTCTGACCTAAACCTCCCCTGGCGCAGCTCGAGGCTGTGCCCTCTCATCCTGGGGGGGTTCCCAAGCTCAGCCTCTCCCTCTCCCCCAGCTCGTGGCCGACGCCATCACCGAGGCCGTGGAGGAGAAGTTTTTCCAGGGCGTCCTGCAGCCACAGCTCCTGCAGATGTGAGTGTCTGAGGCTGTTCCACTCTCCAGGACCCCCCGGAGCCAGGAAACGAGGTCTCCTTTCCCCCTCTGGCAGGTCGGAGCTCGCCGTCCTGGGCGCCACGGCCGTGCTGGCGGGGACAGTGCGGCAGATCCGCGCCCCTGCCCTGCTCCAGCGCCTCGTGCTCTTCCTGCTGGGGCCCCACCGGCACCCCGAGACCCCCGGGGACGCCCCCCACGCCCTGCGAGCGCAGCTCATCGACCGCTGCGACCACCTCTCCGACGAGGTGAGCCCGTGAGGGAGGGGGAGGACGGGGAGGGGGCGGCGCCGGGGGAGGGTCTCACCCCATCCCGCCCTGCCCAGATCAGCCTGGCCAGCCTGCGGCTCTTCGAGGAGCTCCTGAGGAAGCCCCACGAGCACGTGGCTC